CCTGCCCCTTTGCCACTCCAGCAGGGGCAGGGGCACGGCCAGAGGCTGGCCGGCATGACCCCCTTAGGTGAGGGGGCAGAGGTTATTCCCCCCCTCCCTCTGGCATCTGTTGAAGGGGGTGGTAGGGGACTTCTCCCACTGCTCTCCCCACACAGAGAGTGATTGGCAGCAATGGTCAGGGATGGCAGACCCTGCTGTGGTCCCCCAGAGGCAGAGGGGTGAATAAACACACTCTCTGTTCCTTTTGCTTCAGGAGCCATGCCGGCCAGCATTTGACCATGCCCCCAACCCCCACCACTGGAGCAGTGAGGTGGAAGCATGAAGCAGACCCTGGCGTAGGTCTGTGCCAGTGGGATGGAGGGGGAAATTAAACCTCCACCCTGGCCAGTTCACTTGAGGCTACTGTTAGGGCTGGCCATGCACCCACTGCCGGAGCAGTGAGCAGAGAAATGCATAACAGGTCCGTGCTGATGGGACAGGGTAGGGAGGGGGAAATAAACTTCTTACACTGGCTCCAGAAGGTCTAGCCAGGCCCCTGCCCCTGCCTGTCCCTGCTCTGGCTAGGGAGTAGAGGGGCAGGACCATCCCTGCTCTGCTGGAGCAGAGAGCACAGCCAAGCCAAGAGAGCATGCTGGGATCCTGGGGGTCTCTGGTTTAACTTAAACCAGGAAGGGGTCTGGGACAGAAATTGCATAAACCAGTTTGAGCTCAGTCAGTTAAGTCTGATACTACATTAAACCAGGTTTATCTCAAACCAGTTTCTACCATTTTGAAACTGGTTTATATGCACTGAGCTTATGTTCTATTACAGGTTTAAGCCAGTTTCTGATCACTTAAACTGGTTTATGTGTAACTTCTGTCCCTAACCCTAGTGAGAGAGTTTTCCTAATATCTAACCTAAATTTCCCTTGCAACTTGAGACCCTTGTTCTGTCATCTGCCACCACTGAAAACAATCTAGCCCCATCCTCTTTGGAACCACCCTTCAGTTAGCTGAAGGCTGGTATTAAATACCCTCGCACCCCCCCCCTCCCCCCTAGTCTTTTCTTCCTCAGACTAAATAAGCCAAGTGCCCTCAGCCTCTCCTCAGAAGTCATGTCCCCCAGCCCCTTAACCATTGTTGTTGCTTTCTGCTGGTCTCTCCAATTTGTCCACATCCTTTCTGTAGCGGAGGGCCCAAAGTTAGAGACAGTACTCCAGCTGCGGCCCCGCTAGTGCCAAATAGAGGGGAATAATCACTTTGCTCGATCTCCTGGCAATGCTCCTACAAATGCAGTCCAGTATGCCATTAACCTTCTTCTCAACAAGGGCACGCTGTTGGCTCTTACTTGGCTAATTGTCCACTGTAACCCCCAGGTCCTTTTCTGCAGAGCTTCTGCTTAGCCAGTTGGACCCCAGTTTGTACTAGTGCATGGGATTATTCTGTCCTAAGGACAGGACTTAGTACTTGTCCTTATTGAACTTCCTGAGATTTCTTTTGGTCCAGTCCTCCAATTTGTCTAAGTCTCTCTGAATCTTAGCCCTACCCTCCAGTGCATCTACTATTACCCCCACCTTGGCATCATCTGCAAACTTGCTGAGGGTGCACTTTATCCCATTTTCCAGATCATTGATGAAGATATTGAACAAAACTGGCCACAGCACCAACCCCTGTGGCACTCCACTTGATGCTGGCTGTCAACTAGACATTGAGCCATTGATTACTACACTTTGAGTCTGAGGATCCAGCCAGTTTTCTATTTGCCTTACAGTCCATTTGTTCAACCTGCACTCCCTGAGCTTGCTTGCGAAAATGTTGTGGGAGGCCATAACAAAACCCTTGCTAAAGTCAAGGTACATCGCATCCATTGCTTTTCCTCTCTTCTGAAATCCAGGGTCCTTGCTTTGTTGCTCTCTTGTCTTCCTTTCCTCAGGATCCTGAACTCACTTAGCTCATGGTTGCTGATGCCCAAGTTGCCATCCATTACTACATTCTCCACCAATTTTTTCTTGTTTGTGAGCAGCAGATCAAGAAAAGCATAGTCCCTGGTTGGCCTCTCTAACACTTGTACCAGGAAGTTGTCCCCAGCACTCTGCAAAAACTTCCTGGATTGCCTGTGCACTGCTGTATTGCCCACCCAAAAGATCTCAGGGTGATTTTGAAGAACCAGGGCCTCTCATCTGGAATGATCTTGTAGGGAGATGTTGAGGCCCTGAATTCTTCTTTTGTACTGACCAGGCAGAAAGGGGTGGGTAGGATGCTTTCTGTAGTATAATTCATTGGGCAGTTTCAGTCATATCTGCAGCAACAGGCCTATGACCAGGAAAGAGTTTTGCTGAGCTGACCTCACTGTAGACCTGAAAACTAATGTGTCAGCTGTTTGAATTAACACAATCTCCCCTCTGACATCACTGCATTGTTCAGTAAGTGGCTAATGGAGTCGTTCACTTTCTGAAAACAGGTCTCTAGGAACAAAGTCTTATTATTGCAAAGAAATATGAGCTCTAATAAACATTTGTTTTAATATTCACATAGTTAAAAATGTCTGAATTAGAAAAGTTATTTCACTGAGTCTAAATTCATATTGCATCATAAAATGCTGGCATGTTTTTAGTTGCCAAAGAAAATTACAATTCTGTTCAGATAAACAGGCCTGCAATTAGATGCCTTGTGTGTATTTTTAGACTTGACTTGGCCTATCAGTTCAATCCAATGTAGCATTTTATACAGAATCATTCATGTAAAGTATCTTAAACCATTTTCTGGAGAGACTGGTATTGATAGATGAATCTGTAACAATTCTAAATGGAATGTATCAATATATTGAACTCACCTGGGCACAAGTATCACAGGTGGAAGGCAAACATCAGAAAATAGTGATGCTGCTATTATTTGGCATTAAAAAATGTTGCCATGAAAATATTGGCTCTAAGTGTAGGTGGATAATGTCGTATGGTAAAACCACATGCCCCTTCTCTCCATGAGATTTCTGACCAGCAGCGTCTGAGGTTGAGTGTTAATATTTTATACCCAGCACTTACGGGCTGTTGAAGCCAGTGTTGAAACTTTCAGGGGCAGACTGCAGGAGTGGGGGAGCCGCAGTGGAGCAGAAGCACCTCGCTTGTGCTGCTGTCCCCAGCTGACATGGGTTTGGGGCTCTCCCATGCACGTTCCAGGTGCAGGGAGTGGCTGGGGGGGGCTGGGGTCAGCAGCATGCAGGTTCCTCCTTCCAGAGCCTGCTTGTTGCCCATGCCTCACCCTCAAGTGTTCCCTGCTGGCTGGGAGCAGATGCTGGAAACTGCAACCTGTGCACCACCACTTTGTTCTTAGCTGACACAGGCATGGAGGAAACAAAATGACTCCACAAAGGTGTATCAAATCCACTATGATCCAGGTCCAAAATACACAGTTTCCCACCCCCCCCTTATTTCCATTTCCCCATGCCCAGAGTAAAACTAAAAATTGGAGAAGTATTTGCCTTGTTTCCCATAGCTTTCCATGTCTTCCAAATAACTGGTAATTACAGTTGGCACATGATATTCAGATGTAGGTGACTTTTGTATTTAAGCTTTTGGTGTCCTTAGTGCACAGTAAAGCTAGGGAGAGAATCCTGGCATCCCAATGCCCGGTTTTCTGCCCAAGCACTAGATGTTCCTTTCTGTTATGAAAGCCCAGACTGTTACACAAAAAGGTGTACTTGTTTGTTAAACTGAAACTTTTTTGATTCTGATCAACCTGCACAAAATGTGTAATTTCAGGCCAGGTTCTTCCTGCTTCTGGGTTGTTGTTGTGTGTGGTGCTTTAGTCTAGGTTTTGGTGGTGTCTTTCTGTAGAAACCTTACATACATATTCCTTAGTTTCCATAGTTCTAAGAGCTTCCTTTAAATCTTCCTTCTCCTGAAATTAAAAACACTCTAATAGAAATCATAATCCCATTCTTGTGCTTGACACACACAATCGTTGTAGTAACTGAAGTCCATTTACCTCTTTGAAACAAATACTGACATCTTTATTATTCACACTCTGATTGTTTTACAGTAGATATTTTATATGGGATCATTTCCTTTGTGGGCTAGGAAACTCACTCAGTTTGCACTTGTTCTATCCACCTGTCAGGGTTATGATTTATTTTTGCTTTGTTTGATAGTCTTGTTTTATCTTTCTGCGTCAAAGACATGCAGGAACTGACTGAACAAGCAAAAATCCCCAGCC